TGAAACAATTTCAAGCATCATCTTCCCAATACCAAAATAAATAAATAAATAAAATAATATTACCTTTTTTATAATGTAAATTTAGTGGGTAGATTTGTTTATATCATTTTTAAGAGAAAGTTTATTTACTTTATTTCTGGCCCAATAGCAATGAGTTCACACTAAATAATAAAGGTTCCCTTGAAATAAAACTGTGCCATTGACTCGTTTAATTTTGATGTTAGAAAATGTCTTCAAGAATACAGATTGACATATGCAGAAGAAATTGGTTGTTAATTTAAATTTTAGTTCATATTATTTGATATGCATCTTGGAAACTGTGCCTTCGTCAAATTCGGCACTTTGAAGTGAAAGATGCTTGTCTTTCGGATAAAACCTTCAAAACCAGGTTCCCTTGTCATGGTAGGGATTGGATAAATATCCCTCACTGCTCTTTGGCCAAGTAAATGCCTAAATTTGAAGCTCCGGTAAATGGTGACATTTCTTTCTGAGTGAAAAATTCTCGAATAGAACGTACAATAATCATAATTTGAAGGCTTCATTTCTTAAGTCTTCAGGGTCATGCACACTGCATGATGGACAATGAGGTTCAGCATCAGGATAGGTATCGTTTTAGATTTGGTCTATATCGAATTCCATTTGAAGGCGATGAGATTTGTTAGCATCTCTCTTTATGGTCATCAGGATAATCACGTGTATCTCGGAAATTTAACTGTTCAAACTTTTAGAGCTACATGTTTTGGATAATTTCTTATCAGACATATAAACCCCGTAAGAGCAAATTCACAGATTAGAGCAATCGGGACCCATGCAGAACAGTATATACACAGGCAATGTATATGCACTGGCAAAAGGATTAAAACTGAACATACTAGTTGCATTTGGTTTAGTTGATTTCTTTTAAGAGGTCATAACATGGAAAACTTTTTCGCTGCTGATCCTACACAAAACCAGACATAGAGCATATTATTGAATGTCATTACGAAGCAGTTGCAGACTTGGAAATTCATGAAAAACAGTGTACCCTGTTATTGGCCATCACAATAACCTTCACGTAAAACCCTGAAGAACAAGTACTCCTTTTTAAAACCAAAGAGCTGTGACAAATTTAGGCAAAGAGAAATATGAATTAACAGGAATGCATTCGTAAGCAAAGTTTGCAACTGCAGGCAATTGTATGGTAAGGAAAAATTATGTGCATTTGTGAACAGAATATTTGTATAATTTAGAATTGAAATTTATTTAGTATTCATTGACTGTCTCGGTTTGTTAAAATGTTTTGTTGTTTAGAACATTATGTCTGTGGCGTATGGTGCAAGAATGAAAAAAGGGACTACAAACCAAGGAATTTACCTTTTGGGAAACCGTTGAATTATCCATATTTTCGACATGCCTTAAAAAATTTATTCCTAATATATGCTGCAAAGGCAGATGAGCTTGCAGCTCTTGGTTCAACACGTCAACGAAAACTTTAATCACATGGTGTCATCAAAAGCCCCAAAACGATTGTAAGTCAAAGAGGGTGTTGCAGAAACTCGCGATTATTCTCTAAGTCAAGAAGGGCATTTAAATACCCACGACGCGTGAAGAGTAATCTCTAAATATAGATAATGCTACGTAGTAGACTTTATTTATACGGCGGGTATGTCCAGCATTTCACATTTTACGTATATTTCATGCACAGTTTTTTTTCCTAAAATAGACTGGCGACTTTTTTTCACATCTATGGTCACTGTCGCCATATTGCACGAGAAAAGTTAAAACGATAAAAAGTACTATGAATGGCAAGTGCACCTCGCACATCATTTTGAAAGATGTACTGTAGACAGCGTGCGTTAATATTTTTTTTATAAATAAAAATGTGTGCAATAATCACGCTGCTGATGCAATATCCAAGAAATTCCATAGAGTCATTTCAATTTAGTTGTTTCAAGTCAAATCCGAGCCACTAATTAACAGAACAATAATGAAACGAAATGCGTATGAAAAAATTACATTATTTAAGATGATAGTACGTTATTTTTTAATACATCACCCCTAAATAATAACATTAAATCTATGTCTTATTAGTTTTAGATCACAGTCTCAAGGAAAACAATTTAATTCTGCACGCATTTAAAATATAACCCATTAATTTACTAATATTAATATTACCCATTCTGACATTCTCTCTTAAGAGAGATATTACATTGTACTTCCATTATATAAGATTATATAAGAAAACGAGGTCCAAGTGCTTTAACGGTCACCTGAGTATAATACAACAATTTAGAGGATCCATAGAGTATAAAATGAACTGAAAGGTGAAGCTTTGTTGCCTAAAAGCAAGAGAAATAGGGTGATCAGGATCAACAAAATAATTAATCTAGTATTCATTGACAGTTTATAAATTAAGTTCTAATCTGTTCCCCATTTATCAATTTCACTATACAGTATATTAAAAACTTATCAGTGCTTCTGTACTATTTTAACTTCTTGTTGAAATCTCTTACATTGGCCTTTCTTGGTCTTTGATGAACATTCAATAAGACAAGTTATTTTTGTTCCATTTTTATTTATCTATTACTTACAAGTCTACCTGATCATTAAAACTATGAAAATACTTTTTGTATTATACAATAAAAATTCTTGCATAATTCTCTTATTCTATTAACCTTTCAAGTACATATTTTACAGTGATTAATTGTCAGAAGTAAACGGCAAAGGGGAATAACTCCTCTCAGTAGAATACAAATTAATAGAGCCCTGGACAGGACCAGAACACTTCACCAAATGGTCCAGATGTTAAAAAATCTGATAAAAATACCCTTCCTTATTAATACTTTTAATTTTTTGCCTCTGATATGCCCAAGTGCAGAGAAAATTTTTAAAGAAATAATGCATTTTTACTTCAAGATTCACTATATTATCAATAGAGCCCCCCCCCCCCCCCCAACATACACACACCCACCGAGAAACACTTGAGTCTCTCACCCCGGGACCAGAAGTTTGCTCATCATAATTAATCACTTTGTTTATCTGCTTAAAGACGTACAACACACTGGGGGAGATAACTCTGACGTGTAGAATAATTAACTTCACGTTTCCCTAGTAACATCATTTAAAGTTTCCCGTAAATCACCAATACGTTTCACATAACGTAAATTCAAAGCATAATTTCGATCTTGCTACATGGCAACGGCGGACAATATGACGGACGTCGGACAACAAGACGGCCAATGCATAATTCCAACGAAAAAAAAAAATAAGCGGTCTTCATTCTTTAAAAATTACAACAGACAGCGTAAGGATGAAGATTATTCTACTTTTTCGAATTCTGGTGAAAACGATGTCAGTTTAGAAGGTAAACATGAAAATGATCAACCTGAAAATGATTATAATGATAACAATACATCTTGGAAAAATGGTAGACGAGTAGTTGAGCTTGACATTTTAGCAAAAAATTCATTCTGTCATTTGTGCAATTCTCCCCTACACCTGTCAAATATTCTCTCTGAGAAGATATGTGGTTTAGGCAGTATCCTACATATCCGTTGTGACAATTGTTCATCGGTATGCCCAGTAGAGACAGGAAAGAGAGATGAGTCGGGAACTTTTTGCGTCAACAAAAAAGCAGTTATAGGTATGTATAAAACACAAAATACAGCACTAAAGCAATTTGTACTTGATATAAAAGACATATACTCGTATAAAAAATCATTTTTTACTTTAATTATTAATTCTTGAATCATTCCTTACACAAAACAAATAGACAAACACCAAATAGAACGTAAAAGTTATTTCCGTGTTTGTTTCTATATTTATATTTTGACGTCACACTAGTGCGGACCTCAGGGAAACCATGCGGAAGTATGGGTTGAATCGTCCCACATGTTTGTTTCAACCCTTAGATCTTAAGCCCCATTCAGCGTAAATTAAATATTCATTTGTTTAATAAAATTTAGCAGAATTAACCTTTTACTAATGAAATGTCATTCCTATACATAGTTTTAGTAGGTAATTGAGCACACATGACAAAGAGGAGTAGTTTTTACACAAGTAAATTTGAGAAATAAAGAAAAAAAATTTTAAAAAAAATTATGTCTAGAATGAAAACATTCTCAGATTTTCTCTTTACTTTGAATTTATGTTCACAGGAATGATTCATTGTGGTTTTGGACCATCTCATCTCAGAAATGTTTTGATGGAGTGCAATCTTCCCCCAATGAGTGAAACAACTATTCAGAAGATACAGAAAAAAATTGGCCAAACAATAATTGATTGTGCTGTTCAATCATGCAAAGAAGCCAGACAGGAAGAACTTGATTTATCCCCGGAAAAGGTGAAATATAGTGTACTGCAACAAAGAAATTATTTATTTTATAATGAATAAATATAAAATAATATGGATTATTTTTTTAAAAATACACATAAAAAGAAAAAATAGAATGAATATGTCATTTATGTTTTGTGTGTCTGTATATTTTCATGTATGCAATATATCTAAAACTACATACACTTCTGAATGCAGGTGCAAGTCAGTTTTGATGCTGGTTGACAAAAGAGGGGATCTGGCTTTAATTATAATAGCAATACAGGTAAAATGTCATTCTCTGAGCACAGTTGCAATAAAATATTAATTAAAAAAAAACATCCATTTAATGTTTCCATTTTATATGAACAGGCCATGCTAGCTTGATAGGAAAAAAAACTGGCAAGGTTCTTGCAGTGGACATCCGCAGCAAAGTTTGCAAAGTGTGCGACACTTTTAAAGTTCAGCACCCAAATGAAACAATTCCTAGCCATGACTGCTCCCGAAATTGGTAACATACAATATAATAATAAAAAATTATTATTTAAAAAAAAACAACAACAACAACCCAATTATCCCTCAAACTGAAGTTAAAAATATTTGTAAAACATATCTTTTATTCAAAGGACATGCTAATTAAATTCTTTAAAAATGGTTACAGTTTTTAATAAACCTTAGTTAACAGTTCCTAATTCCTTTAGGTCTGGTAGTAGTAAAGTCATGGAGGCTGATATGGCACTCAATATGCTTGGAGAGATGGAAAAAGAGGGATGTCATGTTGACATTTTTCATGCTGATAATGACTCTTCAACATCTGGGATGCTTAAATCAGAATTTCCCAACACAATTAAAATGGATGACCAAAATCATGTGAAAAAGGGTTTTACAAAACAACTTTATGAACTTGGAAAAAGGTAAATTGAATTTTATAAGTCATATTTAATAATCTAAAAGAAATTAAATCCAAATCAATCAGACTAGAAATTGACACTTCTGTATTATTTCAACTGTATGTGCCTGTACAGTCATATTTAAAAAGCTGATTTTTTTTTGGTCATAAAGTAATACTACATTCCCTCCTAATTGATACAGATACAAAGAATTAAAACAAGCAGAGGTTATTCCTTATATTCAGCGTTGTTTTGCCTATGCCATCCAAAGTAATGCTGGAAATTCAACCAAAGTCGAAGAAGACCTTGATCGAATTGTTCCCCATATATTTGGAGATCATAACAAGTGCAGTGCTGCACAGTGGTGTACTTATAATGAAAACCCCTCATCTTTTAGGTACATATATTCAACAGTACATTTACAAGAAATATTGTAATTTCTAATTTTGAACACTTATGCAGCCTTAAATAATTCATAATAAATAATAAATAATTAATAAATAATAATAATAATAATCTGACATCAATTAAACATTTTTAAAACTTGCTCTAAATGAATTTATTTATTATGCTGATAAATTCTTTCCTAAAAAGATACAAAAGTCTTCCGGGTGGCAGACCTCTCCAAAATGAGGATCTGAAACAAGAATTAGAGGATCTTGTTTCAAAATATAGATACAGGACAGAAAACCTTTCCAAACTGGGGTCAACACAAGCTAATGAAAGCTTCAATAATCTTGTTGCAACAAAAGCCCCAAAGTCAAGGTATTAATTTGTTTACAGTAAACTAAAAAGTCATATTTAAAAAAAAATTAAAAAAAAAAACAAACAAACAAACAAACAAAAAACTTTGATGCAATATAAACCTCATGTTGAAAAAGCAAAATGATATTTTTTTTTTATAATTTCACAAGCTTACAGACCTTTAAGTGTATGCCATTCTTCTTATTAATAAGTTCTTCGTGATTTAAATTTTAACAGAAACTATGGAGGTTCTTATTCATTAGAGCAGAGACTATCTGCAGCTCTGTTACAGAAGAATGAAGGTTACAGTTATTTAAGAAAGGTATACAAAATTTGAAAATACACATGTACCACATGTTATAAAGAATCTTTATTTGAAAGTATGAAAGTATTATATCTGTTATAGAATATCTAGAAAAATAGCACTTCTTAACATTTTGTCATAGTATATTTTATTATTAATAAAAAAAGTTCTTTCTTGAAAATCTTTCTCTTTACTGTTTGCTTACATTGTATTTTCATAATGCACTTGTATATGTATTGTAAAATAGGTGAATGAGGCTGCATCACTGTCTCCAGGGCATCACACCATAAAACTTTGTGACAGGATTGACAAGTTGAGGCGAGAACGGAAAGACAAGGTGTCTACTATCAAGTATAAAAGGCGCCGTCTTCAGTTAAAGAAGATAAAAAACAAAAAAAGAAAAGGTTTCAACTATTAAGGAGGGAACAACTTATGCCACTGATATTGGCCTCTCTCAACAAGTTGTTGATGTACAAATTCCCTCCCCTTGTATATGACAAAGATTGATTGATTGATTGATTGTATGTTGTTTTACGTCCCATTCGAGAATTTTTCACTCATATAGAGACGTCACCATATACCGGTGAAGGGCTTCAAATTTTGACCTTTACTCGGCACTCAGGGCCATTGAGCAGTGAGGGATCTTTATCGTGCCAACGCCTGCCGTGACACGGGGCCTCGGTTTTTAAGGTCTCATCCGAAAGACCCGCAACTTTCACTTCAAAGTGCCGAGCGCATGGCAAAGGAACAGTTGCTACCCATTTTATCGACTTGGGTCTGTCGCGGCCGAGATTCGAACGCACGACCTCCCGATCACGGAGCGAGCGCTCTACCGACTGAGCTACCGTGAACGGTATATGACAAAGAAAGTAATTATGTTGTCTTTGATTTGGAGACAACAGGCCTTGGGCATAACTGTGACATCACACAGATTGCTGCTGTGGGATCAGATGGTTCACAATTTAGCTGTTATGTCACACCGAGATGTAATATTAGCAAAGAAGCATCCAGAATAACTGGACTTGCTTTCTCAAAATTGAGAAACAAGTTGTTTTTACATGGTTTAGAGGTCCCAGCAAAAGCACCTAATGTTGCTTTATTGGATTTTATAGAATACCTCAGTTCCTTGAATAATCCAATATTAGTTGGTCATAATGTAACAAATTTTGACATACCTGTTCTAACAAATAGGTTGATTGAATTTCACTTGTTTTCCACATTTTGCAAAGCTGTGGCAGGTTTTATAGATACTTTAAAAGTGTCCCGTAGAGTTTTCCCAAAATCTGAGGTTCCAAACCACAAACAGGAAACACTTGTTGAAAAGTATCTTCATTTGAAATATAATGCTCATAATGCTGTTGAGGATGTTCACTTCCTCCAGCTATTATTTGAGGGGAAGCTAAAGATACTTTGTCATGATACTGATTTATATTCCATGGCATATCATTATTGTAAACTCTCATTTCTGCCTGTGCTGGAGAGAAGAGTTATTAGTAATGCTGTTTGTATCAAAATTTGCAGACAGGGGATTTCTTTAAGACACCTTAAGTTAGCAAACAGAAGAGATCCAAATGGTATAAAAATTATTTTTAAGGAAAACAAAATTTCTTTGAAGGCAATAAAAGCATTATATATGTACATAAATGAAAGTGAAGAGTAGTGTGTAATGAAGAACATGTGAATAGTGGATTTAAATGTATATAACTCAAAGACACTAGGTATGCAATTTTTGCTTTGTGTTTAGACTTGAAGCATTATGTGTATATACATGCATGTACATGTAAGTTCGTTTTGTTAATAACAGAACAATACTGAAATATCTAGATATTGTAACAACATGGAATGGGTCAATTCCTAGAGCAGAAATGGTTTCACTGCCTAAATATCTGTTTGTATGTACATCTATTAACAGAGCAAAAGCTTCCAATTTTCTTTTGCTAAAATAGTTTTTAACCAAGTTTTGATTGAGTACATGTATATTATGATATAGTCCTGTATTTCATACAAGCATTAAGCTTATCATGCTTAAATACATGTTAGGCCTATATTTTTACTGTAAAGACTTTAGTAATGGCCTTGCCTTCCTATGCATTTGCCATCAAGTATTGGAAGCAATTCTACTTATGAATGAATTTATATATTTAGAAAGTTTTTATACCTACTTCTGCAGAATTTTAGTGATGTCAGGTCAGATGTATAAATTAAAAAGGAGAAAAATATTATATAGGTTTTAGGTGTTTTTGAATATCTCTAGGATTTTCGCAATGTTTATTTTTGTTGAAATGTGATCAAGGAATAATACATACTTGAAATTCACAATGTAAATGAGATAAAGTTACTGAAACATACAAGTACAGTACATAATCTTTGTTGTCAAGGTATTTTCTTATGTTAGCAAGTTTCGTCAATAAGCAGTGATCATTGTCCAGTTATTGTGGGCAATACTTGGTAGAAGCAGAAGAAGCAATTTTATAATTTAGCAAACAATTTGTTTGGAGTTATTTTTTAACAAAACATGTGCTCATGCTTTGTTTATTTCACTTTAAAAAAAAGGATAAAGATTTGTATAGCTTGTAGAAGTTGCTGTAATGTTGACCCAGTGCTTTCTGATAGACTCATAGAAAGATACAATGTTTCATTTTTGTTTGTGTTTCAAAAGTACATTACAAGCTGTCACAAGAAGTACACCAGGAATAAAGATAATAGTTTTCACTTCATAATGTTGTTTTTAGCAAGTTGAAAAATACCCGATTTTAACGTCCATTTTTGGGGGTACATTTTTCAATCACACCCCCAAAAAATTATTCCATCTTCACAGAAATATGTGTAGACTCTCAGATTATGAAAAACTTCAAAGATGATTTCACAAAATAAGACAACTATATCACGCTGTTTTTAGCAAAAACACATTGTTTCATTTCTCTCGTCTTGCAATATTTTGCCTCTTTTTTTTGGCCAAGGGGGGTAACTTTAGGAGCTTGCTGACCAAATACTACTCGAACGATTTAAAAATTGTCCCTAATAACGTATCTAAAAATAAAGAAAATTAAACGACAGGAAATTTTTGGGGTAGGTGTGTTATACATCCTTAAGGAGTAGACAGGATTATTTAATAGAATTAATGCATTTTCACTATATTTTCAAGAGCAACACCCTTACACCAGCACATCTGACTCGGGGTCATGCAATTCACTACTCTGGAAGAAGCACTCTTGCTCATCATAACTATATACTTAGCTTCTTTGCTTTTTAACCAGAAACAGAAAAGAATATTTTCAAAGAAATTTTGCTTTTTCACTATATAATCAATAGAGCCCCCCCCCCTTTTCACAAGAACCCCTGACCCTGGGACCATGAAATTCACAATTTTGGAAGAGGCATCCTTGCTTATCATAACAATGTACCTTGTTTAAATAGTACCCAGGGGCAGAGAAGAAGATTTTCAAAGAAAAAATTCACCTTCACTATAGGATCTATGTAGCCCCACCCTAGAACCAGAACCCCTGTCCCTGGGGCCATGAATTTCAGAATTTTGGAAGAGGCATCATTGCTTATCATAACAATGTACTTAGTTTGTTTCAAAAATACTCAAGAAAGAGACGAAAATTTTTAAAGCATTAATGCATTTTCACTATATAATAAATAGAGCCCGGCCCTAACATCAGAACCCCTGACCCTGGGGCCATGAATTTCACAATTTTGGTAGAGTCACTCTTGCTTATCATAACTATGTATTCAATTTGTTTCAATAATACCCAGAAGTAGAGAAGTAGATTTTCAAAGAAATAATGCACTTTCACTATATGATCTATATACCCCCCCCCCCCCCCACAACAGAACCCCTGACTGGGGCTATGAATTTCACAATTTTGGTAGAGTCACTCTTGCTTATCATAACTATGTATTTAATTTGTTTCAATAATACCCAGGAGTAGAGAAAATTTTCAAAGAAATAATGCACTTTCACTATATGATCTGTATAGCCCCGCCCTAGCACCAGAACCCCTGACCCTGGGGCCATGAATTTCACAATTTTGGTAGAATGCTCAATGCTTATTACAATCTTGCCAACAGTTTGAATGCTTGATGTAGAAATAAAGAAGATTTTTAAAGATTGCATTAATTTTGGTGATTTTAGCCCCACCCCTCAGGCCCCAGGGGGCAGGGACCATGATATTCACAAATTTTGTTCCCCTTCACACATAGATGCCATATGCTAAAATTGGCTGAAATTGATTCAGCGGTTTCAGAGAAGAAGCTAAAAATGTTCAAATGTTAACACACGACGACGGACGAAAACAGATAGCAATAGGTCACCTGAGTGACTCAGGTGACCTACAGACATATATATATATATATATACCAACCATTCAAGGATTCGAACCCATGCTCAGGTAAAAGAATCTTTGCATAGAGTCCACACGCTTTACCACTAGACCAGCTCCGAGACGAAAGTTTTATGTGCTATATTATGGGCACTTTTTGCATTTCGGACTAATAATAATTTTTGTTCGATTTTTGTGATTTTCAAAAATATGCCTCTTTGAAACAAAAATCGGAAATGGCAGTTTTGAAGAAAAACCCTGTCTCTTTATGTGTATATCAAATTCATTCTGTTTGAAGGAGGCAATTTTTCAGAAACAATGGGGATTCCCTCTTTGAAAAACAGAAAACTTGACTTTTTTTTGCTATGTGACTAATTTACACTTCATTTAATGGCAAATTGGAAGTCGATATGCAGTTTCTAAATATTGTTCTACGTTGTGCTGTATATACCGTTGTATCTGAAAAAATTTAAGACCGTTTTCTGTTTCTTAAAATTTTTCTTTTAAACTGCTACAACTTTAGGGAAAATAACAAAAGAACTGCAACACCCTCTTTTATGTTGGAGTTTTTTTTATAGTTTAAAGTATAAAGTGGTGCTACAAATAAGATATCTGCACACTGTAGAAATTACGTATAATCAACGTAATCAGGTGATTGCTAATCATAACAGGTTTTATGGACGCTCAGAAAGTCTAAAGACCAGACTTTCAGCTACTGTTTGTCAGAAAAATGATGGTCAAAACTACAGTATTGTGCCATTAGTGATCGTCCAAATTCAATTTTCATTACGTCACTTTACATTTTCAATTTTCGTCGACGCTGTATCTTTTGTCCATGGCGTCAATGTTGACTAAATTAGTATATATTTATAGCAACCTCTGACACCGAAGTTTAGTTTAATGATATGGGGCCGCATTACTTTCAACGGTGTAGGGACTGTGACTCTTGTAGATTGTAACATTAATGCTCGAAAATACATTGATATAATGAAGAACAACTTTGGCCAGTTATAGCACGCCATTTTCCTCGAAATAACTACATATTTCAAGACGACAACGCCCCTATTCACAGAGCCCGAATAGTTCAAGAATA